CACTAAGCAGCTCCATCACTCACTGTGCCCCAGGCTGGAGCAAACCCACAGTCAGCTCCATCACCCACCGTGCCCGCCCAAGCTGAAGCAAACCCACAGTCAGCTCCATCAGCCACCGTGCCCCAGGCTGGAGCAAATCCACAAGTCACACTGTTCCCTGGGTATGCGGAGTGGAGTGGCCCAAGCTCGGCTGACAAGGCAGTGGTGTGCACCTTGCTGCTGCCCAGTCAGCAGCCAGGCCTGTCTGATATGAGCACAGACGCCAGGGTGGCTTGATGAGGAGAAACTCAGTCATGAGAGTCACCAACATGTCACTGCATTACAAGTTCCACAAAATTAAAAAACAAGGTTCCCAAACCCACACTCATCTCGCAGAATGGTTTAAAACTCGGCTGTAACTGGGCGGCCCCGGTGCACATCCAGGGATGTGGGCTGCTGCGCCCTGACCTCCGGCACACAAGAAAAGCCAGGCTGTGAAGTTGGACGGAAACTAGAGGAGCCTCTCACACGGAGCAGGTTTCCTCATTTAGGCTTCAGTGTCTTATCTTTGAAAGCAGCAAAAGCATCCACTCTCTTGGGTCCCCAGCGCTGGAGATGAGGGGTAGCAGCCTGGCTTGAGGAGGGGTGACGTGGTGCCAGGGATGGGGAGAGGAGTGGCTGTCGTTCTGTCTGCGGACTCTGAGCAATCGCTTCTCATGGCCTGCGCTGCTCCCAGCTCCCACCCGACACTGCAAAGGGGTGAGCCATGTCCATGCTGGGGCTCAGAACAGTAGGCGCTGGAGGCCGGGTGGGACACACCCTGCACACCGTAGACACTGGGAGCCCTCAAATCGTAACACCAAAACTGTTCCCAGAACTGCCAAGCACCCCAGCCAAGAGCCAGCAGAGGGGTCTAGACAAGTGGGTGCCACCGAGTGGGTGGGGACCCCAGCGGGCACCAGTCAGAGCTCACTCTACTGAGTGCACAGCACACACTGCGCAGAACACACACCTGTCAGGGAGCATGGCGCCCCCTCAATAGTCGGGGAGCCCCATGGAGCCCCAGGAAAGTGCTGAGCCCGAGCTGTGGACAGAGCACCACAGCAGGTGCCCTCTGCCCACCCCTTAGGGGCCTACCTGTTCCAGCACAGGGGTATCCCGCCACTGTGCATTCAGAGGAGGCTGGATGCCACATACACCTGTCCTCACTCAGCTCTGACCGGACACCAGGGCCCTGGCTTTTCCGGCTGTGGCCAGAATGCTGCTAACGAGCACCTGAGCTCACAGTTCTGAGGCTCAGCCTCGGGACCTACGGCTCACGAAGCGGGACTCACCACAACAGGAGCAAGCATTCGGCCCCAGCCGTGGGAAGGCAAAAAAACCTGTCTGCGCCTTTCCCACGATGTTTCGGCTGAGTTTTCTGCCTTCCAGGCCTCACCTTGGCGATCTCGGCACTGTTTAGAGCTGGACTCTCAACATGGTGTGGGGAACCTCGCATCTCTTTCTCATCATCAAGGCTCAATTGGGCATTTTCCCCTGTCTCCCTCCTTCACAAGCTCCCGATGCCACAAGTGAATGTTTCTGCGTGTGCCACACGATCCTTTGGGGCGTCATGAACACTCGTCCCAGAGACTTCATGCTCTCCAAGCACAGCAAGCTGTGGACCCCGGGGTGAATGGGCTTAGTTTGCTTCAAGCCCGGACCCCAGAGCTCACAGCAGCAGGTGATTCAAGACTGTGGATGCCAGATGCGCCCTTAAAAGACCTGGATTCCCAGGGAGGAGCTGCCGTCCGCTCTTCTGGCACAGCCAGGTCCTGGGCTCCAGCACTCTTCAGTGTCCTCAATCCCGCTCCATGTCACTGCCATTTCACCAAACGTGCATTTAAGGGAAGCGTGCAAAGCTGTGTGGGTGCGAGGAAGGAGACAAGTGGTGTGTGAGGTCTACCATCAGGGGAGGCAAAGCCATGGGTGAAGGCCTGTGTGGCTTGGTGTGTGGCTTCGGATGCAGAAATGCAGCCAGGAGGGCCATGAGTGTGCAGGACAAAGGTGACAGGATAGGTGTGGAGCCTAAACAGAGGGAGAGGACAGGCCATCTGCATGCGCCCTGTATGCAGGCTGGTGAGCTCACAAAAGGCACAGCTCCAGCCATGAGAGAGCTGAGCCTGGTGGGTAAAGTCTTTGGATTTTTTGAATTTTATGTGAAATCTAATTTCTAAATATGGGCTCGAAAATTTCAAACTTCAGGTGCTAAAAAGAAACACGTCTGCAGGCAATGCGAGGCCGCACAACTCTATTTGCAAATACCCTGTCTTGCATGAAGACAGAGGTGGGGACTCTGGGGGACTCAGCCTCCCAGAGAGACATGGCGAGGGAGGGGGGCTCCTTCTAGAAATGGTGCACCAGTGAGGCCCTACCTGGACAGGCTGTGAATAGCGGCACAGAGAGGGCTGAAAACTGGGGGGCAGCACTCTGCAGCCCCAACCGAGGTGCAAACACTGCTCTTCCACCCCAGGCCAGGAAGCACGGCTGTATTTCATGATGCTGCACTCATGAGCAGCTCTTAATTATCTCTGATTTTACCCATTCCTACCCATTTAGTGAGGGAACATTTTCTACCCAATTAGACAAAGCGACATTGCCAAACGAATATTCCCTGCACAGAAATTTAGAAATTCTTACAACAGTTAAGCCAAAATATCTAAGATTTTAGCCAGTATCACATCACAAGTGAACTCCCAGGCACCTAACAGAGGCTTTGTGGGGGCCTGGTGGTCTCTACACAGTCCTTGGCGCCCCAAGCTTCATGGGCCAAGATCTCCTGGTGCGTGAGTGCTGGGGCTGCGTCCAGTTCATTTTGTTTACTTTTCCTATTAAGATTATAATAAATAACTACTAATCCACAGCCCTGTTTTGCTGACAAATTCAGCAAAGCAGTGTAACTATGAGATAGGCACAAGGTTAAAACAAAAGCCAGGTGGTGAAGAGAGGTGCAGAGATGGGGCAAAGGTCAATGGTGACGCGCACCCAGGTGGAGGGACTGCCCTGCCTGAGCTCTCCGGCTGCAGTCTGAGTGACAGGAACACACATTCCCGTGATGTGTGGGTTCCTCTTAGTGAAATCAGAGGCTCATGTGAATGCTGAAAACTGAGACGGAAAATCGTTGATTCTCACTTAACATTAGATGCTGTCAGCAAACTCTACTTCTGATAATACTGACATAAAAGGTAATAAAACTCATAAATCAATGGGCTGTCTGTGTCCAGGATTTACCCCATTCATTCCAGCTGGCCGGCCGGCCGGCCAACTGCAGAATCCGACAGTCTGCTGAATCCCCCTGCAGCTCGCAGGGCCACACAGCTGACCCGACCAGGACCAGGAGCCGCCACGGCGGCGCCCGCAGTCGGAACAGGGAGAGCAGCGTTCCCAATTTTTGTGTCAAGCTTCTCTAAGTTCCAAACTTCCTCATTGCTGCAGAACTGAAATGGGCGTGGTACTAAAGTCTACTCTGAGTCAGTTTCCCTCCTGGGCTAGGCCAGGGCAGGAAGAGCCCTGGCACAGCCGCCCAGGGACAGCCAGGGAGCCTGGAGGGGGCTGGGCCTGTGCCCTGCCAGACAGAAGCCCGCAGACCTTCTCGTCCGTGCCACAGCAGCGGGTGTAGATGGTTTCCAGCCTTTCGTCTGCGGTCACTTGTTCTGCTAATGGGGTACCCTAGACTACTGTCACTTACCAAAGGATACTGATCAGTAATAGGAGTATTCCTTGAATTTTTCAAAAAAAACTTAATTTCTAAATAAATTTCCAGTAAACCTATACTGGACTCCTCTTCAATTTTAAGGAAGTAAAAACTCAAAGTCTGATTCAAAGTCTGCAGGGCTCAAAAGGCAGAGGGGCTCTGGGGCTGGATGAGGTCCCAGGGCAGAGGGGCGACGGGCCGCAGCTCTGCCACTTCCTGGTGGTGCACCTTCTGGCCTGCCCCCGGGCGGATGCTGCAGGGCCCTGATGAACTTGTGAGTCTCTTGGTGGGGACGTTCGCTGTGTGCCTCTGGCGCTGGGAACTGACCAATGAGGCTATGAAGATGTGGACGGAGACACCCACACCTGGATGCAAAGCACTGCAATGGCCTTGGCTTCTGGCTCCTCCTGGGCAGTGGGTGGACAGTGGCCAGCCGCTGACCCCGGAGGGTGTGCTGCACTGCCCTGCTGCCTCTCCATTGCCCCCAGCAAAGCCCTGCGGCCAACCCTTCCTCCCTCCTCACCTGCTCTTCTGTTCTTCACACACACACACACACTCACACACACACTCTCACACACACACACACACACACACACACACTCTCACACACACACAGCGGCACTCTGGTTCACTGCCTTCCTCTGCACAGGAGACCCAGAGAGGTCTGACGGCCCTCCTGGTGCCTCTGGGCTCCAGGAGCAGGTGCCACCACAGAAACACATGTCACGCTTCTTCCTGAAAGCGCAGCTTTAGCTCCCTGAGAGGTTCTGTAAGCTCAATACTTTTAGAAAGAAAAAGTTTCAGTGACAGCAAAAACTAAGCCAGCAAAACATGCTGCCCAAGCAAGGGCAGACTTTCTAAAGGAGGAAACCAAAGACAGCATCAAATCACATCTTAAAATTCTAAGAACTCACAGTTTCTTCCAAAAGTTCAGCTGCACTCAAAGGTATGCCTTAGGTCTGGTAGCTATTTCTTTTCCTCACCCTAAATAAATGCTCCTTGAAGAATCTGGGCTCAATAATGACTCGTTTTTTTCTTAGAGAACAAACTGGCAGGGAGATCCAATTCTCCCAGGTTCCAGGGACCAGCGCACAAGCAAGCAGCCGTCTTGGGCATCTGACCCTCCGTCGCTTCCCTCTGTGCACAGCGCCCCGGAGTGCACACAGTGCCCACTGTGAGTACAGGGCCCTGCCTTGGGCGTGTGGCAGAGCCTGCTGGGCCCCTGGCAGCTGCTGCAGGCCTGCAGGTGGGAGCGGGGGCAGGGACAGGGACAGGGAGGGGTGCTGACCTGCACGGGCTCGGGGGGCAGCTGGACCACGTGCTGCATGCGCTCACTGTGGTGGTGCCGCGACTCCTCCTCGTAGATCACGTCCCTCTCGTGCTGGGGGAGGTTCAGGAAGCGGCGGATGGTGCAGAGGTTCTCCCACAGCGTGCGGTTCTCCGGGCTTGGGTTCTCCTTCCAGCGGAGCAGCTCACAGAGCCAGCCCTGCGGAGAGGGGCACTGGTTAGCCACAGAGGGCACAGCAGCCCTGGCCTGGACTCAGATGACCATGCCAGAGCATCCTCTCTGGTTCGTGACTTCAACATGCCCTCCAGCATGACGCCCTTACCACATTCTCCATACAATGCCTTTGAGGGCCTCACCTGAGATTACAGTTCCCTGGTCACCAGAAGGGAGTGGCAGTGGTCAGCTACTACTCTTAGAAGCCGCCCAACTGGCTAGAATCCCATTCAAGATAAGACTGATCGTGAGCCAATGGATATTAGGAGATGACAAACTCTGAAGAAGAAGAAAGCCTAAGTGTAAACAGCACTGGCCTTCTCCGGGAGAAAACACCCTGCAGCTCTGAGTACCCGCACTCGACAGACAACAGCCCCAGCAGGGGATGGCGAAGGTGCCCTCGCTCCATTTCCAAGGGCCCTGGGCTCCCTGCCCTCATCACCAACCTGCCTGCGAGGCCACACCTGCAGGAAGGCAGCCTTGGGCAACTCACACCTGCACAGTCTGCCTCCCAACTCTGGCATCCGGATGTCCTTGCTCCTGCAACTGCAGGAGAAAGAAAATGCAATGCAAATAATGACGGATGATATGAAAATAATACAGAGGATGCTGTCAACATCGCTTCCTGACTCATGTCAAAATATTGTGCCCAGACGCTTTCTAACCATCATTTCCAAGCAACATCATTAATGTTAAAAACAAGGACTGTCCCACATCACGCCTCTTTGCAAGAGTAAAAATTTCTCTGAAAAGGTACCTAAGTAAACACAAACTGACTTGGTGAGAAACGAATCCCAAATCTCAAGCAGTCCTGTACCATCCCTCCTGAGCCAATGCGAGTCCCTGACATGCACTCTAAGAGCCCCATGTAATATCCTAAGCCGTTGTTTGTCTAACTCTCTACTGTGTCTTCTGCCTTTCCCCAAAAAAAGGCAAGATTTGATTATCTCCGCTGCATCGGCCAAGACAGCAACACCAGCTGTTCTCATTGTGCAGCCTCCTCCTCGCGGCCTCCATGTTAATAACCTGATCATTCCATTTTCCCCTTCAACTGCCGGCTGCAGCACCGCGCCGAGACAAAAACCCAGGCCCATCTGCAGCAGCTGTAGGCACTGAACTGTGAAGCCACCGGGGATTTATAAACTAATCTGTAACACAACACTGCCTTGTTTTTACAAGTGAGAGGCCACGTTTGCGCAGACCTGATCTTTTCTTGCAATAAACTGGGAGCTGGAGAGTTGCAGGGTGAGGAAGGTGAAAACAAGACACCTTACCATTTGTGGGGAAATGCCTTTCTTGGAGTTTTCAGACTTTTTTAGTCAATTAGAGGGAAGTAATGGTTAATTTTCAAGGTGCCATGTGGATGAGAAATGAAGATAATTTTTTTTGCCCCACCAGAAAATAAATTTTATTTGAAAAAAAATCTCCTGATCCCAAAGTGTTTTTCCTCAAGGGCTTTTTCATACAAAGAAAAGAATTCTTGAAATGGAAAATAAACCATCTGTGGAAAAATAAGCTCCTATTTCTCCATCTTTTCACAGATCTGAGTAAGTCTCCAACTGAACTCTCTCAAACATTTCAGACAGGTATGTTTAACATCTCCCAGGGGAGGTGGGACCTCGGGGACCATCGCTGTACGGAAAATAGAAACAAAACCCTACATCTGTTAGACGCCAGACCTGCAGGCAGACGGCACCTGCTGCTTTGCTCTGGGCACGGGCTGCATCGTGGGACGCCATGGCCCGAAGGGGCAGCACCTCCACCTCGACACTGGGAATGTCCTGGGCCACGTCCATGGCCGCGCTTGGCTTATCAGTTCTGCTGTCGTGCATGTCATAGAGGTCACGCAGGACAGTGTCTGGGCCTGCAAATGCATGGCGTGATCTGTGTCTGTCTTGGAGGAGCTCGGGGCTCCATTTGCCCACTGACAAGCAAGGGCCTGACCTTGAAGCTATTAGGGAGCGGATTAGACACAAGTGTGATCATGTGTGCAGGCAGAAGCAAACCAAATTAATTTCTGGCAGGGGAAGTGGCCCGCGAGCCCCTGTTCTCAGGCACAGAGAACTCCCTCAAATCCCTGATGGAGCCAAGCTAATGGCATGTTTAAGGGATCCCAGTTCGGAAGGTGAAGCACATTCATGGTATTTAGAGGGTTATTAATCTAGTTTCTCCACAAAGTGTGTGCTTGGCTGATCAGATTAGGGGATGGAGCCTTCAACGGCGCCCTCACCACAGCAGGCCCCAAGAAATCTGCACTACTTCCCAGCCTTGGACATATTGCACCATGTGTACCCAGCTGCTTCAATAATTAGCTTATGAATGTATCAGCTGGCTCTGTGATTTTTATAAATAATAACTAACCTACGGAGCAGAAAGATCGGCAAGAGCCTTACAGTAGCACCATGCCGAAGGGCTGGCTCCCCACTCCAACCCGCTCCCCTCCCAGGAGCTGCTCTTCCCATGGCGGAGCCCCTGGGCTGCCGTTTATGAATATGTATTCCTATCTGAAATGGCAGTTTTTTCTGGTTTTCTTCCCAGCAGCCATGATCTGCTTTCTCCTGACTGACTCCCCTGCACGCCATCCCCGGACGCCTCTCTTCAGGAAATCCGCCCTCCCGCACTCCCCGTCTTGCCGCTATCCTGTGCGCCCGCCTTGCTCTCCCGCCACGCTCCCCGTCTCGGGTACTTTCTGCTTGCAAGACAGGGTCTCTGATCAGCTCCAGAGGCCAATGAGTGTGTGGGGCAGGGGTGCATGCGTTCACTTGTGGCTGCGAGCAAACCCACTGCAGAAGAGAGAAAGGGTCCCCTCCTTGGAATTCTTTTCATTTATATAATTTTTGCATGCCATCCAAGAAAGTTTTGCAGTATCAGGCAAAAAAAAAAAGTGTAAATGTCAAATAAAACAGTGACAGATGACAGTATTCTCTATTGAATAGCACTGTTTCTGTCGTGCATGTTCAATGGGAACTCATGAATTATTAATAAACAAATCTCCTTTTTCTGTTAAAAATCTCAAATAGGGTTTTTGTTGTTGTTCCCTCTGTATTATGTGGAACATTCCAGGGGAATTGTTTTCATTTCAGAAACGCTGATCCAGAAGTTCACCTAGTCCCAGCCTTGGCCCGCTCTGAGTGGACACCATGGGCGATGGACTCTCTACGACTGGGAGTGTTGACTGGAGACTCGCCTCATCTTCCTAAGTCAGTGTGGCCTTCGTGACCTGGTGAAACTGGGAGTGAGCCAGAAGTGTTCAAGCACGACTAGGAGGTGGTGAGGCCACCAAACATGCAGCCTGAGGGCTGGCTGCTAAGTCCTTCTCCGGTAGGGGCCACTGGGTGACCTCTGCGTGGGCAACTCCCCACAGGGGCTCCTGGGTCCTTCAATGTAAGAAGAGGGTCTTGCACAAGTTGGTGCATAGCTCTCTGGTCCATTCTCCAGGTTCTGCTCCTTGCCAACTACCACAAGCAGCGGACAGTGGGCAGGCAGCAGGGCTGAAAGTGCTAAGCAGAATCCACGTGACACAAGATCAGTATCACAGGAGAGGGCGCGCAGATTCCCTAGACAGACGCTCTGATGCCACGCGCTGCCGAGCACACAATATCACACTGGGGACAGGCACGGCCAACACACAGAGCATCAGGCGAAGCTGATGACCAACATCGATCTGCATGCTGCAGAAGTACAAGGCCACAAGAGCACACCTAGCACACTCAGACTGAGGGAGGCGGCCATGGCCACATGCAATCTGCTGGGGAGGGGGTCCCAGCACAGGAAACGGAGCCAGCAGAGAAGCGGGAGGAATCAGACTGGAGCCTTAGCCAGCAGCCTGAACCCACGCATGATAATGTCCCGATTTGGGTGACTGCACTTTATCCGTAATGGCACTGTAGTGCTGTGCGGAGTTCACACTGGGGGAAATGGGGTGGGCGGCACAGGGCAGCACTTCTGTATCCTCCTGCCTTACCTCCATGAGTCTACACAGCCTGTATCTACACAGAGGCTTAAAAACTCAGAGTCCCTAGAATTTACACAGGAAAATACGTGTGCAGCCTAAGAACGCACGATTAAAACTTCATCCTGCCTTCCAGTCTCAACCCTAGAGAGAAGCCAGGTCTGGAGACCACTCTCTTCAATCACTGAGCACTTGGTGCACAAGTGAATAACAGTCATTAATGTCTCACCTTAGGCTCCTTACCAGCCTCGCAGGCCAATGTTTTCCCCTCTGCAAACAAAACAGCCCTGGCCACTCTTTCCAGCCACGCAGCTGAAGTGACCCTAGCAGTCAAAGCACCATCTGCTTGCCACCCTGTGTCCTTGAAGGGCCGCAGGGCAACCTGAACCTACACAGCAGATCATGCTGCACGGACTCCAACTGCCTGAAGAAACGTGCCACTACTCCCTTTTGGAAGAGGAATGGTGATACAGGGAATTTCTCTCTTGAGAATCTGATGTTTCATTGCTGAGTTACAGACAGAGGATCACACTCAAGAGCATCAAGGAGACAATGATGAAATCCCCACTTCTCTGCTTCTCCTTCCTGACCTCATTCTCCAGCACCTGGAACGTACCAAACATTCCACCCCTGCAGCCTGCCACACGCCTCCTGGATGGGACCTCCGAGCCCAGAGGCTGGGCTTCCAGGCCTGGCTGCCAGGCTCCGACCTGACCTCACACCTGGCTGCCCCATGCCTGATGTGCACCTGCTTCCACAAAGTAACAGGGGCTGTGCTCCACCCCACAGTGCTCACTCCTGCACGTCAGCACTTCCAGGGCAGACTATGGGTCCCTGTACGCAGAGGCGCTCTGGAGATGCACGCTGGATTTAACCGGAATCACTGGAGTGCATGGGCATCAGTTCTGAATTCACAGTGATGATGCAGAGGCACCGATTCCACACACAATACTGGAGTGTTCCAAGGTCTCTTTCTCTGCCTCTAATGCATGACTATGGAAAGAAAAGCAGACTGGTGCCCTTTACCCCGTGA